TCAATCTCCAGAACTGGTGTAAAAACCTCTGGCGGCAGATGTATCGAAGAATTTCAAAAAACGATTGCCACCCCCTTCCTGTGGGCGTACTTCAACATTTGGTGTAAGGTGGAAGAGACCGCTTTCACTTGGTGCAGCCACGGCTGCCCTAGGAGTAGGTTGAAGGTTGCGGAAACATCCAAGACATGAAAATCAATATCCTATTGCCCCGAACCAACCTGAGTCTTAATCCGTACGGTCCCCATCACCTCCTGACTTGTATTATCATAGGTCCGTATCACCTGGGCAATAGGCACAAAATCCGCAGGCTTCAACCCGATAGCATATGCCGTTCTCGACGGACACACATTGATAGCAGATCCTGTGTCAACAAGGACCATCGGTATCCATTTCTCTCTACACTCGACAGAGATATAGAGCAGTTTGTTATGATCTAAGCCCTCAGGCGGCAGTTCCTTGTCAGTGAAGGTCAAGGTCGGGGAAGCTCCTCCCGAGAAAACCAACCCTACCAACTGCTCTGGAGTTGTATCGATTGAAAGTTTAGCCTTGTCCATTGTAGAAAGGACAGCCTGTCGGTGAACTCTTGAGGCCATAAGCAGTCCCCAAATGGAGATGTCTGCTTGAATTTTCTTAAGTTGTTTTAGTACAGCCTCCTCCTCGAGCAGTTTTTCTTTCTGCCTCTCCGCTTCTTTGTCCTTCCCGGATGCCTCTGGCTGGTCTAAGTGTAGGGGTTTGAAATATCGCCCACTCCTGGTCATATGGTCAACCTCCTCAACATACTAGGTGTCATCCTGTTGGTTCTGCCTCCAATCTTCGTCATTGTGGGCAAGACGTAAGTCGTCGTCTTCCCATCACATCTCGTCAGCAACTGACAGACAGCTGTCCGATTCCGTTGCAATTGTTTCTGTGCCCACAGCACATTTCGTCCCCGCAGGGGCCTTGGCCTTCCTAGCCCTCTCAAGATCCTCGATCTTTTCTTGCTCAAGACGCTTCAATGCAAGCTCCTGTTCAGTGCCTACTGTACTCAAACTGCCCGGATCCCAAGAAAAATTCTTAGCACCGGTGCTCTCCGGCGATCCCCCCTGATTTTCGGCCATACCGGCCACTACTGATGTCCCAACTTCTGATTGCCCCCGTTCTGGCCGAGGTGCCTCAACAACATCTGGCTCGTCGCTGAGCCACCCAGTATTTTCTGCTGATCCATCTAAGTCGAACCAGTTGATGTTCACATCCCCCGGATCCTGTTCATTGAAGAATTGTAGATTCACGATATCCTCCTCCAACTCTACTAGGTCATCTAACCCTTGACTAGGTCCATCCTCCCGAACCACGCTGATCTTTGCCCCAACTGGCAACTCTACCATCGGCTTAACCTGATCTGTTGATATGATATAACCACTCTAGTTGTACGCAAAGCTCGCAGACCCCTCAGGCTCTAAATTATCATCCTCATCTCCCTCCAAAGTCATCTTGGTTCTATTTTCGACAGTCACCACCACCGGTTCAGGTTGGGTTAGGGAGATGCTCAATATGCACAAGTCTGTGCTGTATAGGATAAACACCTTAGGCTTGGGTAGGTGGGAGGGTGTGATATATATGCTTGGGTTATACGGAATGGTCGCGATTTGGATCAGGTTGATGTGTTTGGGAGGTGGAGCTTGGTTATATGGTGGAAGTGGGTTGGTGGTGACATTCGGCTTCTCCAGAGGCACGATCACCTTGTATCGATGAGATCCTGGATCTCATGACACAATCTAAAGCACTGGTCGGTGTCGTGACCATGCTATTGGTGAAAGGCACAGTATTTGGACGAGTTATGGGTTGGTAGGAGGTTACTTGGTAATGGTCGTGGCTCTAGGGGCTTCAGATGCCCCTTCTTAATTAAAACCCCCAGCGCTTTGGACAGAGGCATGTACAGTGGAGAAAAGGTTCTCTAGCCTCGGGGTGGATATCTGGCTATTTGTGAGCTGGTTCCGGACGCACCAGTGAAGGGTGTAGCTATAAGCATTTTTGAAGTGGTGGTGGTGACCATGCCCACATCAGAAGTTCTGGCAGCTGTAGCATTACTCGTGCCTACATTTGAACTGCGGGTAAATACCCTCTTGGGCTACTCTCTCTCGTGGTCAATCAGACCCTGCTTCATGGCGTCCCTAATCTGTACCCCAATCTCGTGTAAATCCGCAAAGGTGAGAAGGGGTAAGATGATCATTTTTTACATCATATTGGGTTGGAGGTTGCGCACAACCATCCGTATCTGATCCTTGTCGACCGGCTAGATGGTCATCATAGAAGCTTTGGCCCTCCAACGGGTTACAAAGTTGGAGAAGCCCTCATTTGGCTCCTGTTTGGTTGTCTCGAGATCACGAGTTGTGATCTCGATCTGCGTGTTGTAGAAGTATTGAGCTATAAAGGCCTCAGCCGTCTCCTCCCAACTTCTCTTGATAGAATCCTCCAGCTTTACGTACCAAATAGCCACAACACCCGACAGAGTCCGGTTGAAGAGGGAAAGCTTTTGCAGTCTGGAGAGACCCATTGGCCTTAGGATATCTGAGAACAACCGTAGGTGTACCATGGGATCCCCAGAACTGTCAAAACGGTCTATATGCGGCATCTGGAACCGGTCTGGCAAAGTCACCGCCGAATCGGTGTATCCATCCTCTATGTCTGGAATGGAATTAATGCCTTGAGCTTTTTTGAACAGCTTTTCTAACTTGCTCACTTTCGGCACTGTTGGATCCACCTCAAATTCAAACGGTGTATCCACTAGATTAGTCGGTGCGTTGGACAGCTGAGGTAGGATTGGGGGTGGAACTGGCCCCGTTGGGACGTCCGTATTTTCCTGGACGGTTGTAGTCTCCCCGAGTGTTTGAACTCTAGGTGGGGGCGGGGGTGGATGCGAAGCAGATACTCCGACTTGCTGTGGTTGTTGCTGTTACTGAAGTCTGGCAATCAGCTCTATCTGTTGAGCTACAACCTCTGCCTGACGTGCAGCAAACTCTGCCTGGCAGGCAGTATCCCGCTGCATGGCTTGCATGGTCTCTTGAAGCTGATGCATCATGTCCTCCATACTTGCCATAAGGTGCTGATCTAACTGAACAACAGGTTTATCTCTCTGCTGTAGAAACGGAAACCTCAGCCCGACTACACACTGGTGGGGTGGATAAGGACCGCTGATCTGATACTCGTTGTACTAATGTACTGTGCCTAACTGACCTCCGTCTAGTAACCGGGGGTAATGAACAGAACACTGCTTGTCCGTCAACTAGATCCTCAGATCGATGAAGTCTTCGGCCTCTAGTCCAAAGTGCTCAAGGGGTATTTGCTTGGTGGGAAGCAATGATGCTAAACTACCTTGCAAAAAGATAAATAAAGCATAATAAGGAAACAAACAACCAGAAAACGGACAACATTTTGGCTTAAAAATAAAGACAGCACACAGTTGGCATTTGTAAGCTGAACACACTATTCTCAACACTGATCGCTGTCCCCAAATCACTGCCTCAAATCTGATACCCTCAGGTAAAACTGATTTTCCCAAATACTGATGCCCGCAGGCCTGATACTCAAACTTGCAAACTGATACATGCATTCCCTGTAGAGACACACTCTAAAAGCACATAGTAAGCAAGTGAGAGCTAAAACACCTCTATAGAAGGGTAGGGTTTCCCTGGCCTATCTTGTCAGGAGCTAGCCTCTAACAAGACTGTGCTCGATAGGATAGAGAAGTGCATAGAAAGGCTAAAAGAAAGGTGGGCTGATGAGCTGCCCAATGTTCTTTGGGCCTACCGTACAACACCTAGAAGAGCAACAGGTGAGGCACGCTACGCTTTGGTTTTGGAATTGAAATCGTTATCCCATTGGAAGTTGGATTGCCCATAATGTGATTAGAAATTTATGAAGAGATGCAGAATGAACAAGCCTTAGCCCGCACCTTGGATTTAATCAAAGAAAGGAAAGTAACAGCTCTGGTCAAATTGGTAAATTATCAAAAGTAGCTCTGAAAATGGTACAACAAGAAATTCCACCTTAGAGAATTTTAGCCAGGAAATCTGGTCCTGTGAAAAGTTCTGGGTAGCCATAAGAATCCAATTAATAGAAAGCTAGGCCCCAATTGGGAGGGCCCATACCAAGTCATTTCAATAGGCGGAAATGAGGCTTATCATTTGGAAGATATGGATGGCAAGGCTATTCATCGTCCTTAGAACACTGCAAACCTTATGATTTATGCTCATTATGTATGTGTTTCAAAAATAGTTTGTAAATATGCAATTTTTGGGGAATTCTTAATTTGCAAATTCTATTCCCAATGGTTGTTTGCTTAAGTACAATTTATAGCAATTGCTTGATTACAAGAACAGATGACAATCCAGCACAAGATTTAATCATCGCCTGTATCGCAGCTACGTTCTTGTATGCAAACAAATCGTTCAAGACTCTTTTGCATGTTATTTTTCAAGTGAGTCCTTACAGAAACACACCTATTTAGGAGTGTATGAAGGATTGTAAGTCAGAATAGCAAAACAATCTTTTTTCTGGATTGAGGTTCTTAAGACTAAAAGAATTTTTTAGTCCAAGAAAGATGACTTTCCTACTCAAGAAAGTAGTTCGGTTCTGAATTAGAAAAGTAAGCAAATCCAGTTCTGGATTAGTATTCTTAGACTTAAACGGATCTTGTAAAGGCTTTTTTACATCCAAGAAAGCAGACCTCCTCATATACAATGGTATTTGAATTTTTTACTTAGTCAAAATTCTTCAAAATTCATGTGTCATTAAAATTTCCTTGGACTTTGCCTTAGTCAAATTTCTTCAAATTTAGCATTTTGCCAATTTTCTGTAGCTTGGTTGCCTTTGTTTTCAAAACCATCCAAGTTAGGGGGGCAAATAGGACACCTTACACACTTATTTCAAAAAATAAATAGAAAAGTACTTAATACTTAGATAAAAGCAAACACAAAAATTTCTATTTGCAAAAAGTTACAATTACATCAAAAGGACTGGACCATGCAAAGTTTTTGGGCCACAGTCAAAAAAAAAAAAAAAGAAAAAAAAAAGGCAAGTCTCTCTATCTTTTATCATGGCAGGGGTCTGGGTAACACCAACTTTAGAAGCTCTAAAAGAAACAACTCCAACATCGCCACCTTTAGCAGGGGCGTGAATTTATGTGGCAGGAGGAACATATGGAGCAGTAAATGAAGTTTTCTCTTGAGGCTTAGGGGCAGGAAGTTCAACCTCATCAGTAAGAACAACAGCATTCTGGGCACTCCTCTTCAGGATAGCCTCCATATCCTCCTCAAGGTCTTCCTAGGAGTCCTCCCCTTTAGCTTCCTCTGCTAGTGGTGAATCTTTCTTCCAAAACAGAATTGGATTAGAGTACCGGAAGGAACCAAGGGTAATCCCAACCTTAGCCAAGGTAGCCCTCCAGCCATCAATGAAGATATCACCCTGAAGCTTGTAGATCTATTGTAGATATTTCTTATTAATGTCCTTGCGGCATTTCTCCAGCTTCACATTATCGTCTTTCTTCAGCATCTCATTCACAGCAAGAGTAGAGGCCAGGTTCTCTTAAGACTCTTCTAGTTGGGTCTCGGCCAATTGGGCTGCACTCTTAGCAACTTCTTTCTCACTTGTAAGCTTCAGAACCTGGTTGGACATCAACTTGAGTTTCTTCTCCATATCAGTAACAACTTTCAAAGTACCAGAGGCCTTGATAGATTGGATGCAAGCTTAAGCCTTGTAAGAGTCCATTCTAGTCAGACTTTCATGACAGACCTGGATGGCCTGCAGAATGGAAAAGTGATTAAACTCAGTCAAAGTTAAATGCAAGGAACAGAAAAAGCTTGGGTACAAAGAGACTTACCCTAAAAGCGCTGACCACACAAATACGAACTAGAGAAATATCATCTTAACACTGAAGGGAGGCCATGTCCCTGGGCAGGGTAAAACCTTTGCTAAGTTAGAAGCTCAGTTCTGGAACTTCCATTAGGCTGTCATTCGTAGACATATAGCAACGGTTGGGAAGTATCATTTGAGGCCTAAAATGATCATCAAAAACCTCATAGGACATAGTCTTGCTACCGCCTTGTGTCTTGGGGCGTTTGGCAAAAGGGTCCTCTCGGTCAACAACAGCAGCAGCGGCTACAAGAGGGGCAAATCATTTCAATTTCACAGATTCACAGGTAATGGACCCACCAGCATCAATACAAGCACTAGCAGTAGAGGCGGTGGTTGTAGAAAGTGTGGCTCCTACTTCCTGATTCACTGCCAAAAGTTCTGCACCTTTTTGTAATTTTCTTTTTTTCTTAGCGAAAGGAAGGGTAGTGGTTTTCGAAGTTCTTGAAGAATGGCGCACGAGGGCAACAACTAAATCTTCGACCTCTAAGTCCATGGATGGGTCAGTAAGGTTGATGATAGGATCATAAATTCTTTTAGTGAGACCACTAGTAGAGCTTTCTTGTTGTTCGAAACAAGCTTGGGACGACCGCTTTTCATCTTTCAAATGGGAGGTAAAGGATTCAAAACCCATAAATTTTAGAGCAGACTTCTACTCCTCAAAGAGGTTCCAAATATTCTCTAGTTTTGCCTGACAAACAACGTATTCACAAAAGTGTTTCAATACGTTGATGTTGTGATCTGGCAAAAAGAGAAGAAACAGTTAAGAACAAATCAGCCATGCAAGTTCAAAGGAAAAATAAAGAATAAAGAATGGAAAAACCTACTCTTCTGAAGGCTCTGGGTATACGCTAGGTATGTGGAGAGCTCTCGAATTCCCAGTTCCCAGAGATTGTCACAATATCCTCTTCTAGGTCCTTGTTGGTTTCTAGAAGGAGGGTGATGAGTTTCTTTAAGGCACTTTTTAGCCTTAGGTAATACTTAAGGTCCTTAATTGGGGCTTTGGCATTGTAGGCTGTAAAAACATAGATGGACAAAATTTTCATCTGTCCAAGGTGGGTGCCTTAGGCTTGGTTTAACTTAACAACCCCATTCACAACTCCATAGATGTTAACAGAGAGTTAAATAGAGGCAAGGGACCAAGTGCACATGCACTCTCTCAAAAGTGGGTTTAAGGGAAACCTTACCCCTCCCTCAATAATGGCAATGAGGGGCATGCAAGTGTAATCTGGGCTGTCATGACCCTAGCCACCCCTAAAGGTTCAGGCCGTGACTAGCTAGGAATCCCGGATTACCTTCGGCCTCAAAGTCAAACAATCATAATATAACAAGAGGGCTTAGCGAAAGTAAAAGCATAATATAGTAACAAACCATTGAGCTGTGCATACATACCGAAATCATAAGTGTTAAAGACCTTTAAATTCATACAACTTATATACAATATTTCAAAGTTAAACTTCTCACCCAACTACATGCATCCAAGTTGCAAAATTAACAAAAGAACAAAAGAAAAACAAAAGTTGGGTTAACAATGCTTGACTCCTCTCGAGCCCAAGCTCGCCTCTTCACAGAGACACTTTCCAAAAAGGCTTCAAGGGGTAGACACCGAGGCGGCCCTTAAACTTGATGCTTCACTTACTCACCTACATATATATAAGGGAGAGGGTTGAACTGGAGCCTAGTGAGTAATATCAATATAAAAGATTGTATGAATGAAGTCCAACAAATTACAATCATATTTTCCATTTTCGAAACAATACATGCCAATAAGCAATTCAATATAATTCAATCATTTCAATCCCTTCTTGCAATAGTGATAAACAATCATTCAATTTACATGGTACATCCAATAGAGTCCCATAGACAATGTGTTGAAGCTAATAGGACCACAAGGGTCAATCCAATAAAACCAAGATAGGTTATCCAATAATTCAATGTGGACCATTAAGGTCTAACATCAGAGATCTCTGTGTTTCAATTACTCCAATGAGATACGGTATTGTTTCCCCCGAGCGAGAGCTAATGGCCATGGTATTGTTTCATTTTCGAAACAATACATGCCAATAAGCAATTCAATATAATTCAATCATTTCAATCCCTTCTTGCAATAGTGATAAACAATCATTCAATTTACGTGGTACATCTAATAGAGTCCCATAGACAATGTGTTGAAGCTAATAGGACCACAAGGGTCAATCCAATAAAACCAAGATAGGTTATCCAATAATTCAATGTGGACCTTTAAGGTCTAAAATCAGAGATCTCTGTGTTTCAATTACTCCAATGAGCTACGGTATTGTTTCCCCCGAGCGAGAGCTAATGGCCACGGTATTGTTTCTCCCAAGCGAGGCCTTACTAAAGGATGCCACGAATATGTTTCAAAAATGGACATTCATTCATGAATAGAAAAATATAGTTCAAAATATCAATCTTGTACAATTTTCAAATACATTTTGAACATAGCTTTATAAAGACATTACTCACAGTGGGTTAGATTGAACTAGGCCTTGGACATCCACCTACACAAATTACATAGCGACAAAGCACATTGAAGCACACGTTCGAAACAAGCAACATATCTTAATTCATTTTCCTTACATGTGTTTCTAGTTTATTTCATGATTAAGAATGTTCAAATGATGCAAAAGAATGCCTATATGGGCATGGGAATGCAAACATGTGCTTACAAGTGTTAGGCAAAATTTACTAAAAACAGGGTATTCGCTCGAGCCCACACATGGTCGCTCAAGCAGTCCAACAATATGCAGAAGGTTCGCTTGAGCACACATTTCATCGCTTGAGTCGTCTGTAAAGACTGCAAAAGTACTGGATGCATTCGTTTTTCACTCGAGTGATGAATTCTTCGCTCGAGCGAACTGGACAAATTCTACGTTTTCCATATTTGTGTTTGAAGTTCAAAAACATGCCTTTCGAGTTCAAAGCTTACATGGTTGGTCTCAAAATCTTAGAAACACTTTATAAAACATGAATCTTTGGAAATTAAGGAGCCATAATCTCAAATACTCTTTCAATTCTTCAAAACAAAGGTTAAAACATCAAGTTCTTGACATGCTGTAGACCCGACTTTCTCCGCGCACCCCTCTTTCGGAGAAAGCGTGAATTTGGTCTTACTACAGTTCGGACTCCTGTCATGGTTCTGAATTCTGAATCTAATCTCACAAAGTGCAATGTAAGACTAATAAATCACCAAAGAGTCCAAATCTGACAAATCGTTTTAGAAAATGGATTTTAATCAAAAAGTGCCAAACATGGACGGCTTTGCCAGATTTCAGAGTCGCAACCTAAATATTTTGTTTTGGGAAATTTAAGAAACCCTAACTCGCGCCAAAGGCCACATGTCCGTCATCACTAAAGTTTCCTCGGCTCGGGAACTTGGGTACGAGAGGAAAAGGTCATAACATGAGCACCCCTGCTCGACCGATCGAAGGATCGGCCTCTACTAAGCATGATATGTTGTTTTCATAAACACATGTGTCCTTATTCCGGTTATTAATCTAACTTACTACGTGATGCGCGCAGCATACAAGTATAGACTCAATCACGAGAATTGGATCAAAACAATTCAATGTTTGTTTTCGAAAATGGTTTGAAAGTACTACTCGCAAGTAGGCTAAAGCGCGGATTTGCTACCCTCAGGTGGGCTTAAAACATGATTTGCCACAACCAATTGGGCTTAAAACATTCATTTTATTGAATTGTCCCAGTTCAAGCAATGAAGCCTTCATCCACAGGCATTTATTCAGTTAATCACTTAAGCAAATAGCCTCATGGAAAGCATGCTATCATGGCAGTCACTTACACACATGCAAGGATGCTAAAGTGACAACACTTACAGTGTACTCCAAGCCAAAACAGAAAGCTAGTTAGAAATCAATGCATGATCCTAGCTATGTTAAGATGCCTAATGTAACACATGCAAAATGCAACTAAGTAGGCTTGACTACCTAATCATGACATATTAATGCAACACTTTGATACATGTATTCAAATAAGCATCGAAATACGATGCAGTTTGAATGATGCGCCGAGCCCGGTGCATGCAATACAAATTAATGATGCAAACATGCAAGCATAAGGTATGCTAATTGAAATATGCCCTAATCTAACCTCCAAAAGCTGATAAGTAAAAGGGAGAAAGAAGTGGGGGTTGGAAGACATGCACACACACACGCACCCTTATTACAACAATATGCCCTCTCAAAGGAGGGTCCGAATAAAAGAGAGCTAACTAGCTACACTAATTAAACTAACTATTACAAACTAAACTAATTAACTATTCTAGTTAACTAATTATTACAACACAATTGAATAACTAGCTAATCTAAGCTAATTAGTTACAAACCGAATTAATTAATTAAACACTTAACTAATTAATTACAAAAATGACTAAGCTAACTAGCTAATTAGCTAAGCATATTAAATGAACGGCCTTGGGAAGCGAGGGATGCATGCATGCTCGGTTGCTCCGTTTCCTACCGAAAGTCCGTTACTTTGCCACCGGTTGCCTCTGTTTGCATTCGCCTTGATTCCTGAACACCGAACCAATCTCCAGGCTATTTTTGCTCCAAAACCAGAACAACTTCTGACCACCTCTTAGCCTGAGAACTATCAGCCACTTAAAAGGGCGGTAGGCCACTTAAAGTGGCCGGTAGGCCACTTCCTCTGGCCGGTCGGCCACTTGCTCCCGCATTCTCCAATTTTGTTGCAAACAAGGAACAACAAAGGCAAAGCATGGTCTTTGCAGGATATGTGTGTACAACCACCCTCCTTATCATTTCTCAAGCTCAAAGGAGTGTGGTACTCGACTCTCGGGCCACCAACTGAGCATCGCGATGCACGATGGTCGAGCAGCCAAGTTTGTACAAGTCAATGAATGCACAAATAGACTCGATGAGCCTCCACCCTATCATACAGTATCAAGGGTGTCGGTGACTAAGAGATGAGGCACGTTTCATCACGTTGAGTATGAAACACCCTTTGTTTCTCGTGTTTGGATTAACGTCTGATCCAAACACATGCAATGCAACACAAACATATTATCTTGGCATGTTTTACTTCGACTCATTTTGTTTACTCGTTTTAGATTACCGATAAGTCCTTTAACCAGTTAAGTCCAAAAATGAGAAGTCCTCTAATTGGAAAGGCGGACCAAGCCACAAGCGTTTTGAGCATGAAAGAAGCATCATACCATTGGTTAGTAGAAACCCTCAAGAGAAGGCTAAAACCATTAAGCATGAACGCCTCAATTTCGTGCTTAAACCAATAAAAGGCCTAAGACCAGTTTCGAAAGGGATATAACACTGAAAGATGGAATGCAATGGCACATATTCCAGCACTGAAATAGGATGCTAAATGACATCAAAGCATGAAAATGATGCATGCAAGACGTACTCGGAGCCATAAGCATCAAGACTAGTGAAGAGCATCACTCTAGAAGCATGTAATATCAAGCACAAACAACCAAACTAGCTCTGGTCAGAGCTTAATCATGCTAAATCAGAGGCTACAACATGCTGAAATTAAAGCTCAAATAGCAAGAAATGCATACTCATGTATTGGCCCATAAACAAGGCATAAAGGCACAACTCTCAAAGCCATAAAGGAGTGGAATATGTGAGAGTGTGACTACACTATATGCTCTAAAATCATGTATAAAATGATGCCACAACATGCAAACATCGCAAATAAGGCATGCTAGGGGTCTCAAAACACAAGACTAGCAAAGCCAACTATGCCATAGCTATACAAAGCAAGCCCCAAGAGGCCAAAACCACTCAAAATAGTCCTAAAGCATGTAAAAAAAATGCCAAAAACATGTTGGAGTGTAGCCAAAATAAGCTAGAATGATAAGCCAAAACACTAAGCATGCAAGGCTAATGAGTGAGATTGCAATACAAGTACAAAAATCAAGCAAGAGGTGACCCAACCAACCAAAATCAGAGTTAGAGCATGTTAAATAATGGCCAAAAACATGTTGGAGTGGAGCCAATATATGCTAGAATTATAGGCTAAGACATGAAGCATGTTAGGCTAGCAAGTAGGATTACACTACAAGTGTATAAAGCATGCAAGAGGTGACCAAACCAGCCAAAAACAGAGTTATAGGAGGTCCAAAAAGTCACAAAAACATGCTCAAAGTAAGCCTCAAGAGGATAGAAACACATGCTCATTTGGTAGGCCAA